CTCTCTATCAACGAGCAAGAAAAATTTACCTCCAACGCGTCTCCGCTCTCACTCCTTTTTTTCCCTTCCCTTTTTGCTGATGGACCCTCCTTTTTCCTGACTCTCTCTTGACTTCTTAAAAACGACTGATTTACTCCACAAACTCTGATGATGATACCTTTCACACTCCCATCAGCCCTTTCTACCCCAATCTCTTGCTGCCCTCTACCCTTTCACCATCCACTGCCCAGCTGTTCTCCTTAACCTATTACTCATCCATCTCCCTTTTACCACCTGATACCCTCACTTCCTTCCTGCCCTGCAGCGCTGTATAGCCCTTGTGGTTTAGCGCTTCTTTTTGATTATAATAATAATAATAATCAGAAAGCACCTGGAGAATTGGGGGTAATTAGGTGTGACCCAAGAAATGGGCAAGTAATTTTAATTCCTTAGATCAAGAGCCCTTCAACAGTATCAAAGGAGTTTTATTTAAATATGTTGTTGGTAAATTAAACATTTTAAAATGTCTAAAAATATAAGCAAGTCTTCAAACCATTAAGAAATGAATTGAATTTAGTGAAGCTCCAGGAGGTTTGAGAATAAAATGTATATGGCGAGGTTCAGGTTCCTCTAATTATATCAAGATACATTATTTTTTAATTATTATTTTTTCAGAAAGCACTGTATTGTAGGGAATGCGGCATATTGGATGGGGGGCAGTATGTTCGATCCCAAAAAGAAGACAGATCCAATTTCGGGGTAAGAACCCCTCAATGGACTTAACTTTCAAAAAATCCCCGCTGAAGAAATTTCTCATGTGCCTTAATTCAGTAAATCACATGTTTTTTTTTTTTAAAGAGGAAAAATGTAGCTTTTTCTACAATTTATTAAATGAAAGGGAATTATTAATGGAGGTTCAACTGTATTTTCTATATAAAAAATAAATTACCAAAAATTTACAAAAGTCATCACACATCAACTTTTTTTTTGCATTTCACATGACTTTCTTTACATTGCAACCATCAATTTAAAAATTTCAGTATTCATTTAAAATGCTAGTTAGGGTCATTTAAAATTCAAAAAAAAAACCCACATCACAAAAGAAAGCATTCAAAAATGCTTTTTTTTTAAAATGAGAGGGTGGAGTAAGGTCATAAAGGATTTTGGCCAATTATAAAATAATGTCAAACAAAATTTTTTTTTTAAAAAATTTTAAAAAAAAATTCAAAACCATTAAATTTTTTTTTTTTTTTCATAAATTTTCCCCTTATAAAGGGGAAAAATTTCTTTTTTAAAAAAACTAAAAAAAAATGAAATTATTGGTTCCATTTATTTAAAAATAATTCCTTTTTTAGTCATAATCCAAAAAAATTCTTTCACCCAAAATTACTTTAAACCACTCCTTTTCAAATTTTAATTTTATTTTTTTCATTGAAACCCCACCCCTAGAAGGCTTCAATCTAAAAAAAAAAAAGTTTAAGGGGAAAAAGATTTTTAAAATTATAAAAATTTAAAATAATTTGATTTTTTTTAAATTTTAAATAAAAAATTTTTATTTTATGATTAAAAAATGCTCACGGAGGGCAACAGTCAATTTACCCCAAAATTAAACCCGTTTAACTTTCCCCGTTTTCAAATTTCAAATTTTTAAATTTTTTATTGTTTTAACAACCATTTTCCACCAAAAAAAAAAAAAAAAAACTTTCATTTTTTTTCCCCCAAAATACCAAAACCCTCCCAATTCAGATAATTTTTATCCCTGTTTACCAAAAATTTTCCCCAAACCCTTTAACCCCTTTATCCCCTTTAAATTCCTTTATAGTTCCAAATAAATTTTATATCCTCATAAACATTACATTTGGGGGAAATTTAAAAACCATTGGGGGTTTCACCCCCTTTTAAAAAATCCCCCCAGCACATTTTTAAAAAGGGAAAAAAAAAAAATTTTTTCATTAAACGAATTTGGGGTTTTTTTTTATTTTTTTTTTTTTTTTTTTTTTTTTTTTTTTTTTTTTTTTTTTTTTTTTTTTTTTTTTTTTTTTTTTTTTTTTTTTAAAAATTTTATTATGTGATTAAAAACAAAATTAATTTTTTTTAAACCCAAAAAATGAATAATGAGAGGAAATCTTAGTTGTGCCAGGGTTGACACTTCGGTTAATTCCCCTTTCCCCTTTTTGGATAAATTGGGAATTAATTTCAAACTTTTTGGTTAAATTGGCCCTTTTAAATTTCCTTTACTTTTTTTGTATTGACATGACTTGGCGATTCTTTCTAATCGAAAAAAATAATTACTATTGAATAGATAAGAATTTGGTTTTTGATTGGAATTTTTTTAATTTTTGGCCTTTAAAATTTTTGGGTCAAATTTTCCCAAAAATCCCGTAGAAATACGTCATTTTTACGCCAAAATTTCCCAAAGATTTTTTTTAAAATCAATTTCAAACCCAAATTTTCTTATTTTTGTTTTATTATTACAAAAAACCCCTTTCCATTTCAAAGAAAAAGGAATAAAAAATTTTTTTTTTTAAAACTTACACTTCCCCAACTTCCCGATTTTGGGGCCCTTGACCCCTGAAAGGGTTTTAACCATGTTACCATGCTTAACAGTGCATTCAAATCACCCCATGCTTGCTGGATGCCATTACCAATTAAAGCCTCACACATGCCTGCTGGATACTCAGGCCATTACCAATTAAAGCCTCCTTCATGCACTCCCTTTAACCCTTCTACAGCAGATTTACACACCCTCTTGATCAACATATTTCCCATCATAATTTATAAATGACTAAACAATCTCAACAACAACTCTTCTGCTCAGTGAATTATAACTTTCATATCACCAAACAAATATTTAAGCTCTTTCAATTTTTATCTGCCGCATAATATTCATACCACACTGATCTCCACTGCATTTAGCCTCCTCCTCACTGCAACTTTCATAGCCTCCTCCTCACTGCCAACTTTCATAGCCTCCTCCTCAAACCTGCCCCCCCAAATTTCATAGGCCCCTCCTCCTCACTGCAACTTTCATAGCCTCCTCCTCACTGCAACTTTTTATAGCCTCCTCCTCACTGCCCCAACTTTCACCAAAACCTCCTCCTCACCTGCAACAATTTCATAGCTCCTTTTACCCCTCACTGCAACTTTCAAGACCTTACCATTAAGTTTTTGTTTTAACCTTTAAAATTTCAATAAATATAACATAATATTTGAATGGATAATTAAAATATAAACAAACAACTAACCACTTCACTCTCTAATACTTTCTGCATATGTTCTCATATTTTTTAAGCTTCAATCTTCCTCATAACAATCAGCTGCATATACAAGAGGTGTAGAACTATGCATTATTACTGTGAAATGTATGAAGCAATTTCTAATTCTCTCTTTGATGACAAAGCCTTCATATTAATAATTTTATCTTGTCTATTTTCTCTTTGCACTAATCTCTTTCATTTTAAATATATCCTTTTCAAAGGAGAAAGTCATCGTCTAGTTACTCCTGCACATCATCAACGCAGCGTAATAACTAAACTGGACAGAACTTCCAATATTCAATGTTCATCTTGTTAGCTCATTTGCTGTTACAAAATCTACCAATGCGCTTTTCTACCTGTTTCTCCAACAAATGCACACTTGTGAATAAGCATTTTCTCAAAAATATGTTTATTATGAGTAAGCCAGTTTGACCTATCTGCATGAAAAAACAATGGTTTGTACAGTAAACACCTTCTCTTATTCCGCCATAACAATTTAAACTCTTCTTGCTGCTTACTCATTCTTCCAGTTCACTTCTGCTGTATAATTACTTTCCTTTATATTTAAATTTATCTTTAACGCTTTCACTGTCAAGAGCTCTGATCCTGAAGTGCCTCTGTGTCAAAAAATATTCGAAAAAAAAAAAAAAAATGTTTTCTTACCAAAATCTTAAGAATATTTTTGTGAGTGTTTTAAAAGAAAAATTTTTTGCAATCGCTACTTACTGAGATATAGAGGTATGAAGTTGACAGAAAGTGAACCACTTACGGCAACACTGGCAACTGCCGCTCACTCAGTAATATTATTATTTTATTCTACCTTTCCTTATATTTTATAATATTTTATTTTTTCAAGTAACTTTTGTGGCCTGTGATCCCAATATAATGTGTAATGCATATATATATCCACTCGTATGCAACACAACATTATCATCATTTAGTGTTTACAAAACCTGTTTACACGAGCCAGCAATAAAAAAAGTTGTTTATTATAGTCAGTGGACATGTTCCTAGAACTGCTATAGCTTGTGGAAGGTTGCTTGTGTGTGGATGGTTGAAGGTAGCCTTTGTTGTTGCTGTTGTGAGAGCAGCATATTTGGTGTCAAATGAGGCATTACAAAACCACCACCACCCATTACCCCCAACGTCTTCCCCAACACCCATTACCCACCCAGTCTTCTCCAACAAGCATGCTGCCTTCCCCACCACCCATATGGAAATAAGTCACTGACTTTTTTGGGTTATCCTAGGTTGATGGTTGTCTGGACTTCCAGCACTATTTCTGGTATCCTGGGCATTGTTTTTGGTCACAAACTACTCAAAACCATGAACTTCATCTTCACTGACACTTCCATCTGTGTTAGAACTATCACTTGGGAAGAGAACAGTCTCAATTTGCCAAGGTGCGAGGTATATATTACCGCCAAGCATGGTAAACAAGGGCTACTGAAATGGGACTCCCACAATTCACCACTGGCTCCCTCTTCCTTTTTTAATTTTATTTATTTATAAGAAAGAGCACAGGCAAACATGACACATTTAAAGTTATATGATATTGCAAATGTGGGAAAAATTCTTAACACTAACCACATCCTGGACCAATAAATCTGTCACTTAACATGAATGGGTAGTACAGTATTTTGAAAAAGCAAAATTTAAAGAGAAGGCAAATTTCAAACTAATGTTTATGGGCAGTTATAAAAGCTGTTGGTGTTTTGAGCTGTATTTAGAGAATTTATCATGTGCATATATTTTAAAATGCAGTAATACTATAACAAATCAATTAAAAAAATAGATACCATGCATAATTCTACAAACATCTACAGTACTTGGTGAAGCAACATTTACATCCTTACCTCTGCCTGGCTTTTTAACTAATTTGAAACAAATAACTTTCAGTTCTTTATTATAAGTCTTGGTAGCTGGTGTGTCTGCTGGAGTACTAGGAGTAGACATTCCTCTTCTAGGTTCACTATTATTTACAATTCTATTCTTCTCTGTGCCATCATCAAAAGACATTTCAAGTGGTGAAGTATGACTTGGTGCTGGAGGTGAAATATCATAGACCACATCGAAGGCTTCTAAAGTACCTGCATTAATCTCTTCATCTCGCACTGAAGGTGGTGGTGGTGTCACATCTATAATAATAAATTTAGATAATGTATGAAAGATTATAAATACTATAAACATGGATTTCATTCTACCACACAATTACAGAAAAGATGTATCTTTTTTTTAATCAGTGTCTCAAAAACAGAGCTTTCTTGCCTATAAAAATAATTTGTTTTACCATAATGGCTGTCTTGCACTGAGGTAGGGTAACCCCCCCCCCAAAAAAAAAAAGAAACACATTCACCATCACTCACTCAATAGCTATCTTACCAAAAATGTTCAGATATCACAATTCAAATGACCCTACATCACACTGTACTAGCCCCATTGTTCCTTCAGAGTGCAGGTACTGTACAGTACCTTCTATCTTCAGGACTTGACTTCAGCTAACTGGTTTCCCTGAATCCCTTCATAAACATTTCCAAGCTTGTACTCTAAGAGCACATCAAGTCATAACAATCACTTATCAGATATAACATGCTCGCACAAACCTGTTGAATGCTCAAGTCCCTAGCACTCAAAACCTCTTCTAGGTCCACCCTCCATCCTTCCTGGGATAACCCACACCCCTTCTTCCTTCCCCATCAAACTTGGGTCATCTATTCTACTCTATCCTCTCTAAAGGCCCAAACCACCACAGCAACCCCTCCACAGCCCTTTCAATTAAACCTTTGGTAGCCCCACTCCATCTAATTTCTATGCTCCAAATTCTCTGCATTACATTTCCACTGCCTCCAGACCTATAGAAAAGGTCTTGAGGATATCTCTCCAAGAGAGAACCCGCAGTAATGAATTCAAATTAGACAAGTTTAGATTTAGAAAGGATATAGGAAAGTATTGGTTTGCAAATAGGGTAGTTGATGAGTGGAAGTCTACCTAGTTGGGTTATTGAGGTTAAAACCTTGGGTAGTTTCAAATTTAGGTTGGATAAATACATGAGTGAGAGGGGTTGGATCTGAGTGGGACTTGCATATGAGTGGATAGAGTTAACAGGGCTTATTTCTTGGGTGGCATTGAAAACTGGGTTGGGCAAATGTTTTGTTAGTGGGATGGATTGTAAAGGACCTGCCTAGTATGGGCCAACAGGCCTTCTGCAGTGTTCCTCCTTTCTTATGTTCTTAAAATGCATGCCTCAAACCCATATAAAAGTGTTAGTACCCTTATAGTATTCTATTATACTTCCCTTTTTGCCTCTGTAGAGAAACCTCATTTTTTTGTACAGATGCCTCAACAAATAACCTACCTTGTTCCCCTTCATTTATTCTACAATTCATCTCATCTCTCATACACCCATCTGCTGACAAATCCACTTCTAAATATTTAAATACATTCACTTCCTCCATATTCCCTCCAATCTGATATCCGATGATTCGTAAAATCATAATTACACTATTGTGAACATCTCACTGAATGGACCAGAGTTGAAGTCATTCCTAAGACTAGGAGGCCACTGTGTTGTTCACTGTACCGTGCTTATAAGTCTCATTAGGCTGGCATGGTACCTTGGACAACACACCGGCCTGCTAGTTTAATTAAGGACTGGCTTGCCATGGTTTCAAACCCTCCATTCAGTAACCTGATCTCTAATCTCTCATTGCCATCCTCTTTTCTATGTTCACTTTTAATCTCCTTTTATACACCCTCCAAAATTTCTCTACAAACCTTTAACAACTTTTCTTTAATATTATAATCATAGGGAGTGCTAAACCCATAGGGGATTATGCAACACCTATGGGGGGGGGGGTAAGGTATTCAGACTCAATTCGGGAAACTCAAGCACAGATCTAATTCCCTAGACCAAGAGCCCCTCACTGGTGTCATGGAAACTCCCTTGAGAGGTCAACTTTTCTTTAAAATCTCCTAAACATGAAAAGTGTCATTGACAAAGAGCTATTGTGATAACTAACTCTCACTATGTTACATCCATCATTTTTTAATTACACACCTCTCCCCAACACCCTAGTATTCATTTCTTGTACAACCCCATCTATAAATATGTTAATACTTTGGTTGGTAGACAGCAACCACCCAGGGAGGTACTACCGTCCTGCCAGACGACTGTGCAACAGAAACCTGTAACTGTTTTACAGGATGGTAGGATTGCTGGTGTCTTTTTTCTGTCTCATAAACATGCTGGATAACAGGTATATCTTGCTACTTCTACTTACACTTAGGTCACACTACACAGGCACGCACATGCATATACGTATATACATACACACATCTAGGGTTTTTCTTAATAGCTCTTTTTTTTTTTCTCTCTATTGTCCATGGGGAAGTGGAAAAGAATCTTTCCTCCATAAGCCATGCGTGTTGTATGAGGCGACTAAAATGCCGGGAGCGATGGGCTAGTAACCCCTTCTTCTGTACACACTTACTAAAAATGAGAACAAAAACTTTATAAAACTGGGATGTTTGAATGTGCATGGATGTAGTGCAGATGATAAGAACATAAGAAAGAAGGAACACTGCAACAGGCCTACTGACCCAAGCGGAGCAGGTCCATGTTTCCCCCCCAGATTAGACCAATGACCCACCCCCCGGATTATCCCAATGACCCATCCAGCCAGGTCATCTCCACTCAAGGATGGAGCACTGCACCAGACCCAGCAGCACATGCTAGTCAGGTCAACTCACACCCACCCACACCCACTCATGTATTTATCTAACCTATTTTTAAAACTACACAACGTTTTAGCCTCAATAACTGTACTCGGGAGCTTGTTCCACTCATCCACAACTCTATTACCAAACCAGTGCTTTCCTATATCCTTCCTGAAACTGAATTTTTCCAACTTGAAACCATTGCTTTGAGTCCTGTCATGGCTGGAAATTTTCAGCACGCTATTTACATCCCCTTTATTTATTCCTGTTTTCCATTTATACACCTCGATCATATCCCCCCTAATTCTATGCCTTTCGAGAGAGAGTGCAGATTCAGGGCCCTCAGTCTATCCTCATAGGGAAGATTTCTGATACATGGGATCATCTTTGTCATCCTCCTTTGTACGTTTTCCAGAGCATTTATATCCATTCTGTAATACGGTGACCAAACTGAGCAGCATAGTCTAAATGAGGCCTAACCAAGGATATACAGAGTTGAAGAACAACCTGAGGACTTCTATTATTTATACTTCTAGGTATGAATCCAAGAATTCTGTTAGCTTTATTGGGAACATTAATGCACCGTTGTCTTGGTTTTAAGTTACTGCTAACCAGAACTAAACCCTTTTCGCAATCAGTAGTATTAAGATCTACATTATTTAGTTTATGTGTGGCATGGTTATTTAACTGTCCAACATTTAGAACTTTGCATTTGTCAATATTAAACTGCATCTGCCACTTCTCCGACCATTGCGTCAGTCTATTCAAATCATCCTGGAGTGCTCTAATGTCCTCATTAGAATGAATTGGACGGCCTATTTTGGTGTCATCAGCAAATTTGTTTATGTCGCTATTTATTCCCTCATCTATGTCGTTTATGTAAATTGTGAACAACAAGGGGCCCAACACTGACCCCTGAGGAACACCGCTTGTGACGTGCCCCCATTCTGATTTCTCCCCATTTATGCAAACTCTCTGCTGTCTATTTGTCAGCCATGCCTCTACCCAGGAAAAAATTTCTCCTCCTATTCCATGTGCCCTAAGTTTCCTCAATAGCCTCTGGTGTGGAACTCTATCGAAAGCCTTACTGAAGTCCATATACACAATATCATATTCATTACCATGATCTACCTCCTCAAACACCTTAGTGAAAAAAGTAAGTAAATTCGTAAGACAGGAACGCCCCTTTGTAAAACCGTGTTGAGATTTATTAATCAATCTGTGCCTGTCAAGATGGCTACGAATTGCTTCTGCAATTATTGATTCCATAAATTTTCCCACTATGGAGGTAAGGCTTATTGGTCTATAGTTCGATTATTATTATTATTACAATAAAAAAGAAGCGCTAAGCCACAAGGGCTATACAGCGCTGCAGGGTAGGGAAGGAAGCAAGGGTATTGGGCGGTAGAAAGGGGGAGGGATGATCAGTAGGTTACAGAAAACAGCGGGGCAGGGGATAGTGCGGGGGTAGAGGGTAGCAAGAGATTGAGGTAGAAAGGGCTGAAGGTATCAGAGTTTGTGAAGTAAGTCAGTTGTTGTCAAAAAGTCAATGAGAGAGTCCGGATGAAAGGTGGGTCCATCAGCGAGAAGGGAAGGTAAAGAGAGAGCAGCGGAGCGAAGATGGCGACGGAGGTAAATTGTGTGCTCGTTGATAAAGTGGGCAGTCTAACAGAATGTGGCTGACTGATAATGGAACCCGACAATTCTCACACAGAGGAGCAGGGCGCCTCTCCATGAGATATCCATGAGTAAGACGAGTATGGCCAATGCGAAGACTGGAGAGAGTAGTCTCCCAACCTCGACACTGGTGACAAGAAGATGGCCAGTAACCTATACTCGGTTTAATAGATTGAAGTTTGTTACCGAGCATAGTAGACCAACGTTGTTGCCAGTTGTGAAAGTGGGTAGCTATTGCAGGAAAAATAGTCCGTAAATGGAATATCTCTATGAAACTGGTAGGTCATGTACTGCTGACCGCGCAGCAGTGTCTGCCTGTTCATTGCCCTGTACGTCAACATGACCAGGGACCCAACAAAAAACAATATCTTTATGCTTGGTAAAGATGCGGCGCAGCCAAAGTTGGATACGGAGGACTAAGGGGTGAGGTGTATCAAATTTCTGTATAGCCTGTAAAGCACTAAGGGAGTCTGAGACAACCACAAATGATGACACAGGCATAGATGCAATACAGATAAGTGCTGCAAGAATGGCATAAAATTCAGCAGTAAAAATACTACTAGCCGAAGATAGTAAATGCCCTTGAACGACGCTGTCCGGAAGCACTGCTGCGAATCCTAAGCCATCAGAAGACTTAGAGCCATCTGTGTACACTGCAATGGCATGAGAATGAGAGTGGAAGTGGTCAAGAAAAAGAGAGCGGGAAGCGACCGTAGACAGTTGGGCTTTCAAGCAAGGGAGAGAG